CTGGCTAGCAACTGCAGGGATCCTCCTGCCTCCGATTCACCAGAGCTGGGACAACACACATGCTCGTGTTTTCAATGAATGCAAGCATTGTACCAGTCCCTTAACCCAATTAATTTTTAAATGATAAATATCAAGACCATAGCTGATGCATGGAGGAGACACTGAAACAAACAAAATAAACTGTATGATTTTATCTGAAACACTCTCTGGTCTATAAAGGCAAGTTGTCTCAGTTAACAGCCAGACTAGTCATATGGGGGGCTTCTTCAAATGACTGAGGAATTAAATTTTCAATTTTATTTTACTCCAATCAACTTTATTGTAATTTTAAAACTGTATGGGCTGGCAAGATGGCTCAGTGGTGAAGAACACTTGCTGTTCCTGCAGAGGACTCGGGTTCGGTTCCCAGTGCCTACACTGCAGCTCTCAACAGTCAGTAACTCCAGTTCCCGGGGAATGTGTGGCCTTTTCTGGCCTCCTTGTGCATCAAGGCATGCAGCTGATTCACATATAAACACAAGGAAAGGTAAACACTCATACAAAATACAATAAATAAATCTTTAAGATAAACTATAGCAACAATGCGCAGTTCTGTTAAATATAACGTCATTGTTTTGGTAGTCTGGTTTGAGATGGTGTGCCTAGCATACATGACAGACATCTGTGAGGTTCTTGGGTTACATCAATTTGTATTGAAATTATATTTTGCATATATTCTAGACTATACAAGAATATTTATATAGAATACATTTAATCATTTCACCCTTTTACTTTAAAATTATAGCTCATGAAAATATACAATTAAAAAAAAAGAAAGAATATACAAGTTTGTGTGAGGCTCACATTCCATTTCTACTGGGAAGGACTGTTTTATGCCAGAACTGTAAAATAGGTGACTTGGGTCTCCAAGTGCATCTCGTCACAAAGCACATGAGAGTGACAGGATTTCCCAGTACCACTTCTTCAGTAAACATCAAACTAACAGACCCTAAATCCAGGGGGAAGTACTAGCAAAAACATAGCATGAAAAAGCAAATGAATCGTACAATGTTATGTCAATTTAAATAGGAAAAATGATTAAGACAGTGGGGGAGGAGCTGCAATGTTGTCAACAGTTTTCAATGTCTACCTCTCTGCTTCCTTAAATCAGTCCTGTCAGGTAGACACGCACCGGCTCTCCACTGCCATTTACCAATAGTGATTAGTGTTCTTTGCAAGCATAGGGTGCTCCAGCCAGAGAAGAAAAAGTAGCAGCAGCTTGGTGTGTATGGCAGAATTCGGGCCTCGAAGAGCAGCTGGCTGTGAGCAGTGAGTAATGAGCACCAGGCAGGCAGAGAGGGAGGCCATGGTGTGCACAAGCCTGTGAGGAGGAGGAGGAGGAGGAGGAGGAGGAGGAGGAGGAGGAGGAGGAGGAGGAGGAGGAGAGGGACAGCTGGAGGCAGACTTCTGCTGCTCTCCAGATCGATGCCCATCAGAAGGTGGCACACTGGCCTGAAACAGCTTAGGTGCTGCCCAGAACAAACAGTAGCAAACGGTTACTTCCATGAGCAAGGAGCATCCTTGGGTGGGTGTCCTTTGGCCCGTGTTACCTTTCCTTTCACAGGAACCACAGTGGTCTGTATCTGCCTGGTTATCTTATGGTGTGGATTCTACCAATGTGGGGCGTCAGGAACTAGAGAGACCCCATGGAGCACCCAAGAAGGCTGTCTCGGGAACATGGTTACTAGGGGGGAAGGCTTGGGAGAAGAGAAATCTAAATCTTGGGATCAGAATACAGCTAAGGCAGACTTACTTCAGGAATTTTGGAGCCCAAGAAGACTGCATATCCACTGACCTGCCCTCTTTCCATCCAGCCATCCAGCCTCAGATGAGTCAGGACTTTGGTAAGACTGCAGGTTCCAAGTCAAGTGAGAGCAGCACCTTTAGATCAACTGAAGGATGGTGACCACATATAAAGTTCCTTAGCCAAGTGACTGCACACAGTTGAGGGGGAATTCTTCTGTGCAGATGTTTCTCTTCTTGGTTAAGGAATTAATCACTGTTGGCCAATGAGGCAGGGAGATAGGTAGGACTAGGGTATGAGGAGGATTCTGGGAAATGTAGGCAGAAACAGCTGCCATGAAGGAGTAAGAGTCCGGACCATTCTCCAGTAAGATAAGACCACATAGAAATACTTAGATTAATAGAAATGGGTTAATAATTAAGACAAAGATAGTAAGAAGCCCTAGCCACTGGCCAACAGTTTCATAGTGAATATAGCATCCATTTGTTCATCTAGGACCAGGCTGGTGGGAAAGGGTGCTTGTTACATGCAGTAGATACAGCTAGTTTTTAAAGAAAACAGGGACATCAATTCCTCATGGGAGACTTCTGTGGACCCTACTGGAACAGACTCCACAGTAAGAAGGCTGTGTAGGATTTGGCTCCTCCCTCACTACTCACCCTTTCCAGCTTACTAGTGATGGCACATGTGTGGCTCCCTGACAGCATCCTGAGTGTCACTTAAGGTGCCTGCTAGAAATACAGGTGGAGTCTGGACCTATGAATTAGTCAAGTTTAACACACAGCCCGAGTTTAACAAGCCATCCCGGTGGTTCTTCTGCACACTGGGGTTTAAAGGAACACTAGTTTAAAGCATGAATGATAGGAAAATGTGACTTGAGCAACTCTGGCAGGGAAAACAGTAAGAAACGGAACACAGAGGGGTCACACAACTGGTTCAGTTGTGTGGGAAACTCTATAGCAAAACTATGTGGGTTGAGATTCCTGCTCTACATCTTATTAGTTGAATGACCTTAAGAAAGCCGCTTACTTTCTCTGACCCTTGGGGTCTCATTGACAAAAAGAAGTGAGGAGACCATCTACTACATAGCATTATGAAGATTGAAACATTTACTATATGCACTAAGCTTCAAACGGCAGCATGCGCATGTTCGTGATATCACACTCATCCCACAAGGACCCATGTGGTAGTTTGTCACTTCAATTCTGAAGCCCAACTCCATAAAAAAAAGTACATAGAAATATCATCCCCTGCTCATAAGGGAAAAAAATGTCTTATCTTGATTTTAGCAATTGATATTTTTGCTGATACACCATTTATGTTTCTGAGGCAGTTTACATCCAGTGAGAGAGAACTAGCTTGGTCCCACAATTCCTTTCAACAAGTCCAGGGGATGCTTCAAATGGGTTCATTTATTCCAGGTATGTGGATGCTCTTTGCAGCAAAGAACTTACAAAATGAAAAGTAAACTGTACTGAACATCATCCAGGGAAAATGGATTTTCCAGGGAAAATGGTGCTGGTGATTGTTCTAAATACATGCCTAACTGAAAGTCTAGATGTCAAAGAGCCACCAAAGCACAACTATAATCAGAGACAGATGATGAAAAGTACTGTGGCAGGAAAACTTGAATACAACCGCTGTCTTTCACCACTGAGGGTCACACTGTATACCTAAATACATATCAAACTTCACATGACTGAAACCACAACATATTCCAATGGAGAGTATGACCTTAGGTATGACAAGACCACCATTTTGAAGATACAGTAACAAATGCATTTGTTACCCATTCATTTATGTCTGTTTGCTTTCTTTTTTACATGGGAAGCTCATGTCCTCCAGGCTGGTCTCTAAGTCTACATAGCTACAGAGGACCTTGGCTTCTGATTTTCCCTCTTCCATCTCCTAAATGCCAGGATTACAGGAGTGCACCACCACACTTGGTTTAATTCTGGGCTAAGGATCAAATTCAGGGTGTTGTCCTTGCTACACAAGCACTCTGCCACTGAACCGCATTCCTAAGCCTCAACAAATGAATTTCATTGTGAAATTGTGTGGTGATAGCTTCCAAGGGTCTCAAAGAGTCTTATCATGATCATAATTTATAAAGTTAGAAAATAAAATGAGCCAAAGAGATATAGAAGAAAAACATTACATAGTGAGAAGTCAAAACATCAGGATCAGTACTGAGAGTTCAAGTCATCTTAGACCCATAGAGATAACATACCAATTGAGCCCAGCTTGGGAACTATTGAGTCATCAGATATCTTCTATAGAGTCTGAGTCCTCTGACTAAGTCTCTATTAAGAGACAGGTATGGATGAGGGATAAAACAGCTGTGATTCTTTGGTTTTCTATGTAAAATTGAGTTAAAGAACTAGTATTTGATGCTATGGGGATTTAAAATTCTTATTCGTTTGTAACAACCACATTTTCCTTTGGTTTTGTTTAGTGTTTGGTTTTCCAGGAGCCTTTGGCCTCAGTATGAGGTGCCCATGGTGGCTTATTCCTTCCCATGGTTTTCACTTTAAATGAAGGTCAATGATTACAAAGAACATGCTTTGTAATCCATTCTTGGCTTCAAGGTACCTGCTCAGAGGAAGACACTGTACATTGCAGGTGCGGCGTTGGAGGGGGGAGCGCGGGTTGATGCCCCCAAATTACAATACTAACTTCCCAAGGCATGTGCTATGGAAAGTCAACCTGCATGGTCCTGTTTCTGCTGACCTAAGACTGCATATTTCAACTACATAAGAAGTTACTCCATGCAAGTCCCAATTTATAATGAAAAAGATGACCTCTCATCTTTTAAGCTCACAGAAGTATTTATTCTAGCAAAATATAATGCAATGGTTTTGTGAAGTTCTCTAAAAAAATTATTCTCTGAAATTAAGACATAGCTCAACGCTTAATCCCAGCATTCCGGGAGGCAGAAGCAGGTGATCTCTGTGAGTTCAAGGCCAGCCTTGTCTACAAAGAGTTCCAGGAAAGTCTCCAAAACAATACAGAGAAACCCTGTCTCGAAAAAACAAACAAACAAAAAAAGATATAGCTCAAATTCCCCTAGTATAAGAAGAAAAAACTTTTACAACAACTACGAAAAGTATACAATGAATAAAATGCAGCTTTTCCTTATCATGTCAGTATCAGCCACGCGGGGATTGGTAAGGATTTTGAACTTGAAGCCTTCTAAGTAAACCATGTGAACATTTACCTGCACCGTCCTCTGCATGCCATCAACGTTGACAGACAATAAGGGGGATGCCAGGTTCCACGTACTGGTCACATTTAGTTTCGACCCATCAACTTCCACCTGTTGTGACACCAAATAAGACTGTTACCATGAAGAAAGACAGAAAACTGATCCTAAGTTCACTGCTGCATGCAAAGCAGCAGCCATTTTAACAGATGGCTTCCAAACAACCTGTCATGTTTACTGCTGCAGCCATGAAAGACAGGGGCCAACAACAGAGACTCCCAGCCGTCTCTGGGGAGAGGTGAAGGACCTGTGAACAGCTGCCTCTGGGTACCGAGGCTTCAAGTGATTTCCAGTAGGTAGCAAACAGCTTTCTAACTCAAAACCTAGCTGGACATGCTACATTTACTGCAATTAGATGAGTAATGCATATAAATTCCAGTGACACTTTGCAACCCACACAACAGGGCTTGCATATAATGTCCTCTCCAAGGACCAAGGAAGAACTTTCTCGGTGCTAATTTTAATGATGGACTAAGCATTGTTATCTTAATTAAACGCACACCTTAATTAGGCAAGCGTTTCTGGTGCTGGGCAGCCAGCCTATTCAAACTTTGAAAAGTTCTACTGCACAGTTGACAATCATACTTTGTTTTGTTTTTTGGTTTTTTTTTTTTTTTTTTGAGACAGGGTTTCTCTGTGCAGCCCTGGCTGTCCTGGAGCTTGCCTTGTAGATCAGGCTGGCCTTGAACACAGAGGTCTGCCTCTGTCTCCCAAGTGCTGGGATGAAAGGCATACACCACCTTGTGTGGCCCAATAATTTTTAGTAAATCATCATCTAAAACAAAAGGGCCATAATTTTTCAAATCAGACATGCAATTAAAGGGACATTTTTAACTTCTAAGTAAGTAACACAAAAGTAGCTGAAAGGAAAAAGAAATCAAGGCTAACTCAAAACACTCACCAAAGACTGTTTCCTAACTCTGTTAGGAGAGATAAGCTGCAGATGACATTGCTATCCTTCTGGGAGGAGGCTGCAGTCTGCCATGGCCTGGCAGCTCTCTCTGAGATTGGCAATATGAGCCACTCCCCAACCCCTCCACCACACCCTACCCTGGTAGAAGGTACCCTATCCTCTACCTGACTTTATCTGGGGGAAGTCTCTAGGACCAGTGCCTGACTTATCTCTAGTGTGACCCTGGATGCAGATCCCTGTAGAAGATCCCCCTGCTGCCCATAGGGTAATTAGACTGTGGTAGGAGCTTTACCATAGGACCGTGCTTCCACATGTGATAACTAAGAGTTGTGCTATGAGCTTTATGATAGGAACATGTTGTTTAGTGCAAATTAGGTGATTCTCCATCTACTGACTCCAATCCTATATATTCCCTGTTCTCTGAAATAAAGCTGAGCTGATTCATTGAAGTTATCTCCTAGAGGGCTATCTCCACTGTACACTCACAGGCTAGATAAGGCCCTGCTTGCTGCTTTTGTCCCCTTTGCCCCCATGGCCCAGTGGCCAACAGACTTTGGGGGAAGAGAGGACCTGCACTATTCTAGGTCTATACACACCTGCACAAGTTGCTTAAAGCAGAATCAAGATGTATGGCTGCTAACCATCCCCCACTGTCAACTGTCCAAACTATGTGCCCACTCTGTAAAAAAATTACATGTCAAGAGTTCCATTGTCTTTCTGTTGGACCCTTGGGGACAGATAAAAAGACAGCAGTGAACAAAGACTTGTTTAAACATTTCTGCCAAGTACACTGGCTACCCTAAAAGGATCCAAGCTTGAGGACACAGCCAGAGACGGTTGAAGGCTTCATGACATTGCTGATTAAAGAAGTGACTCCACTGCATCATAGGAATCTAGAAGTTTCTGCATGTCTTAGTAGATCAGTCAGGGCTAAGAAAGGATGAAGGCCACATGGCACAGGAGATTCCACAGCTGCACACACCCATCAGGGACTGTAGGCAGGAGAAGTCTTCTCAATGCAGACGTAGCACCAGGAAAGCTCAAATGAGGTCACCAGTTGCTCCTCAATGGCTAATGGTCCAGAGCCCAGCAGCATAGGCTTGGACGGTTCTCTGCTTCGCCATCGTCATCATCGTGACATGGCTCTGAGCACTGTTCCAACACCCCTAGCGCATGTGCCTAAGATCTACATTGGTGGGGTCTGGGGGCAGAGGAAGAAGCCTGAAATGCCAGTGCCTGGAAGTGTATCTTTGCACATCAGGAACTCATAACCCAGTTTACACGGAAGCTTGTATTCTTTTCCTCACTACTAACAGTAGAGAGGTCTTAAAAAAAAAAAAAAGACTGCATGATTGAGTGATGGGGGAAGTCCTGTGTATATGTCAATAAAGCACTGTTGGCCAATAGGAAGGCAAGATAGGTGGGACTAGGAGTGCAGGAGGACTCTGGGTAGGAGAAACACAGAGAGTCAAGATGTAACTGCCATGGGGTAGGAAGCCCAGAAATTTCTCCGGTAAGAGAAATACTTAGATTAACAATTATGGGATAAATACTTAAGTCAGAGCTAGCCAGTAAGAAACAAGCAAGGCCAACAGCTTCATAATTAATATAGCCTCCTAGCCTCCTGTGTGTTATTTGGGACTGATGCGGCTCTGGAACCAGGCTGGCGAGAAGGCTTCTCTTTACAATTGAGAAACAAAGGGGCCATATGCACTAGATAAGAAACCAGTACAAATTTGTGATTTTACTACCTCTGAAGCAAGGAAGTTATCATAACTCCAGCAATAAACATGAAGTACGTCTGTAAATATTAGACGAGGGAATGTGCCATAAACCACCCCCATGTCTTTCTAGGCCTCATATCAGTAATCCAATTTCCCCAAGACACACATAGTGAACAGCAGATGCAATGACTTTATCGATACTGTTATCAGATGGGTGAAACCCAGTTGTGTGGATCGACCACTGGGGAGCAAAAGTACCAGTTTGCTTCCATGGAAAGTTAGGGCAGACTGAGCAGAAGAACGCCAGGTGTTATGTCTTATATGCTGTTCACGCCGGTCTCCCAGGATCACCAAAGCAGATGAAGAATGGGAGGGCATTCCTTATGACTACACTGAGGGCCTTGCTGAACCTGCCGCCACCCTACCTCTTCTTTGACAACCACCAATGTGAAAAAAGCCCTGCCACAGAAGAAACCAAGAGACCACAGGTAACCAGCTGGTGGAAGGTGCAATCCTTGCATCTAGTCAGCCTTCCCTGTTACAGCATAGAGAGTGAGAAGAAAATAGCCAATACTGCATCTCGACATACAACTGAGGAAAATTATATAAGAGAAAGGGGTAAATAAATTAGGAGCATATAATACAGGAGCAACTAGCTCAGAGAAACACAGGAAGACTTCAGATAAATAGTTCTCCAAAGACTTAAAGCGACCATAGGAAATGTGACCTTCTTTAAAAAAACAGCTCAAAGAAGAAAAACAAAGGTTCAAAGAAGAGATTCTACAATAACAGAAGGAAACGAGAAGCAAGCTGGTAGAGCTCAGAAATAAAAGGGGGGGGGAGAGAAAAATAACACCATAGAGATAAAAGCTACATGAAGAAGCAAACAGAAATAGAATGTAACTGAAAAGAAATACCAGGACTTAGAGAAACTCTACACAACAAGATAGAGCTAGTAATATAAAAGCAATAGTGAAGAAAACAGACATGGAGAAAGAAGACAGCACAAAAGACAAAGGCAATTGTAGTCTTCAAAGAGGCATATGAAGCAAAAAGAAATATATAAAGCCAAAGATATGACCATGTTTGTTGTTTTTTGAGACAGGATCTTACTATGTAGCTATGGCTGGCCTAGAGTTCACTATATAGACCAGTCTGCACCTGCCTTCCAAGTGCTAGTTAGAAGTGTGTGCTACTACACACAGCCAGAGTAACTTTTCAAAAAAGAAAAAAACAACAAAAAAACCACATTGAATTTGTAGACTTATGATAGTAATAGAATTCTAAAGAAATAATTTTATAGCTACTTGGATAAAAAAATATAGGAATCTGCACACAAGGAAGGAAGAAAATAGCCTAATTATCCACGAGCAACAACAACACAGAAGAAGACCTCAAAGTAATTTGGTCCCAGTAGAACAAAGGATACAAAGTAACTAATTTTATACCCAGCCAAGTTTTCCCTAAGAGATAACATAAAAATACAGTCTCTGCAATGTAGGGACTTAGAGGGAGTTCTTTATAGGTACTAAAGTAAAACTACCCTCAAAGAAATACAGAACAATATATACAGTGTGCTATTCTATCTTAACATTAGGAACATGTTGTTTTGCATGCTTTTTGAGACAGGGTCTTGAATGCAGCCCAGGATCTAATATAACCCAAGCTTGACACGAACACCAAATTCTCCTGTCTTTGCTCCAAGTGCTGGGAAGACAGCCAGAAACTACAGAAGCTACCTTTAAAATGAAGTAATTAGTCGTTTGCTTGTTTGACTGTTGGTATGGAGCCCAGGGCCTCTTGTAAGAGAGGCAAGTGATTTATTCTGAACTATACTTCCAGTCCTGAGTGATATGCAATGATTTAAAATTTTTCACTATTCTTTGCTTCCCAAAAGGAAGGTATATATCTCTGAGAAGTAGGCCTTTAAGCTAACATCAGAAAGTGAATTGGAATTAGGTAAATGTGCTAGTTTTGGGGTGTTCAGAGGAATATACCCAGAAAGTAAGATAGCTTAGTGGATAAAGCATTTGCTGCACAAATATTCAGACACCAAATAAAGATGGACAAAATATCATGTATCTGTGATCCCAGTGCTATCACTATAACATTAGGGATGGGAGAATCCTCTGTTGTGGAATATTATTTTAACTAGGCAAAGACGATTTGCCTAGTTACATTTGTATATGCTGCAGAATATTACTGTAGCCATGTGGAGCTGTGCTACTTTTGTTTATGCTGCATTTGTTTAACAATGTGTGTTTAATTATGTAAAAATATATTGCATTGGTTTCACCTTGCCTGCGTAAGGCACCTGATTGATCTAATAAAGAGCTGAATCACCAATAGCTAGGCAGAGAAAGGATAGGTGGGGCAAGCAGGCAGAGAGAATAAATAGGAGAAATCTAGGCTCGAAA